CTGAAAGGTGATTCTAAAGGAATGATAATGACAGTAGTGCCAGGTTTCAATTTTCAAAACAAAAAAAAATGGCATGCATTATGAAATGGATGTAAGTGTAGCATGGTTAGCGTGGCAAGTTTCAATATGACAAATATGAACATATCGCCTTTTATGTTAGAATGACCGAAAGGTGTACAAAGTGTGGGAGGTACGAACATACCCTAGATATGTGCTATTATAAGTGCCTTATATGTGCGATAAATGGAATCGGTAATATAGAAATGAAAAGGGTATGTTTTAAGTGTGGGAAAGAAGGTCACGAAAAAGAGTATGAAATTAGTTGGCTGTATTGTAGCAAAATTTATTAGCCAGCTCCATATTCTGCATAAATGGTGGTAGTAGTGTACATGATTGGCGTGAGGGTATAAATAATGAGGCGGTCAACAGATCTGGATATAGATTGGAATAAAAAAGATGAATTTTAAAGAGTGAAGGGTTAACAATTTTAGAGTTATGTATGCCTAATATAAATAGGGAATAATAAAATGCTATTTAGATTACTCGTTATATTAATCGTTTAATTTCATATGTAACGATGAGAAATAGCCAGTTCAATGTGTCTAAGATTCTGGGTGTAAAGGGATGTTAGAAGTGTCAGTGGAAAAAAAAGGATCAACCAGACAGTAGAAATCATGATGGAGTGGGATTGAATTTAAAAAAAAAGGTCAAGTATTTTAACCATAGCAGCGAACGAGTTATAATGCCAAAAAGAAGAGAATCGATCCTGAAGACTTAGCAAGATGATAAAATATAATATAAATTTTACTGAGATTTAATAATCGACAAGACAATAAATATCTTCTAAAATATCCTTTTAAATTGAATTTTCGGATAACCAAACACTTGAATAGGGTTTTTTATAACCTGATATGCATGCTTATAGTGTATATTTTATTTTAAAACTAACATAAATTATAGATGTATCAATTAAAGAATATTCTCTCTTCTCGAATCCTAAGCTTCATATTGGTATGTATGATATGGTCACCCCGCTATGTTAACGGAGGAATATTCCACGAAACATATTATAATATTAGTAAAATCCGATATAGATATTGAAATTTAAATCAAATAGGGAAGGGGCATTTTAGGGCCTGGCACTTATTCTAAAATTTCCTAACACCCCCCCCCCCCCCCCCGGCCCTACAAAATTGCTTTTATTATGTTTTATATTATTTACATAATTAAATCATTATCTACTTATTCACGAATCTCACTTTAAAAAAAATATTAACGAATGAGAAAAAGTTACCGAATAAATATGATCGAAATAGGCAATTTAAAGAAAAATGTGAGCTCTTTTTTTCAGTAAAAGGCCAGTTATGACTATGCTATCTATCCTTTTAACTTATTTTGTTTCTAAAAAAAGCCTAATTTAATAATAAATTATTACCTAAAAATAACCTATTATTAAATATTTCTTCTTTTTATTTCATCACTTGATAATTATATTCTTAAGTGTAGCTAGTGGTGATATTGCAAAAGAAGAAAAAAAAGGGGTGGGGGTACCAATTTTATTTTATTTTAAAAAATGTTATTTAAATTGTAATCTTTATTTTATCAGAATATTCACCTATAAGCGTTTATCTTATTTTAATTTCTAAAAATGTTGCCTTTCTTAAATTTTACTTAAAGATGATTTATGTTAGAATAAATTAAAGAATTTTTTTTAGAATTCTTTTCATATAATATTAATAATACCAATCTTACGTCTCATTTCGTGATTTGTTTAAGTGATGCGAAATTATTTTCTGGTACCTTTACATAAGTGTAACCCATCAATAAAGTATAAATTATAGGTACGGAGTGAGAAATATAAATTGGCGCCAGCGCTTTACGTATCGTAAAGTTCTTATAGTTGCCACAAATCCGCTCTAATTTCGCTGGCGATTAATTTTGCATTACTTGAACAAATCGTGCTTACCATAAATGTAACAAATTATAATCGATATAAATTAAGCTTTTATAACCCCAAAAATTATGTTAATTTTATTTTCAAATTATACAAAATCAAGTTCAAGATATCTTCATTTGAATATAAATGGAAAATGATTAATAAACAAATTAATAAATAAATATTTTATAAAAATGGGGAAAAAATTATAAATCATTTGTTACTCACTCATCTTGTTTAAAAAAATTTAATTAAAAAGCATAAGTACACATCAAATCCTTTATTATATTGAGACAAGGGAGTATCTATTTTTATTGGTTAATGATGCTTGGTACCTTAAGGTACCATCTATCAAATTTGAATTTTGTTTATTTTTCATTTGGATAGGCACTACCAAATATATTTATAATATATATTTGAAAAATCGTGTTTTTTGGAAAGCCTCTATGGCCTAGTAGGCAAGAGCTTGGTTTACTTATCCCATGGTCCCGGGTTCGAATCCCAGGAATGATCGTGTTTTTTTTCTTATTCTAACTTGGTGGTTCCATCCTTGGGGGGATATATAGGAGGCCGGACTCAACCACGTGATTCCGTATTAATATATTAAATAATAAGGATCTTATTACATTTTAATAAATTTTGGTCGGTATTTAGCAAATTAGGTTGGTATTTAGAATATTTCCATACATTCACTTGGTAGTAAGCATCATTAACCATTTTTATTCTTCATCTTCGTGATTATAATAATTATAAATATATAATTTTAATCCTTGACATTTATACATTATTTGATTGTCATTTAATATTATAACTACATATAATGTAAAAATATAGGACAGAGCATATCCCATTTTTTTCAAAAATAACTAATATTTGATTTGATCTCGTTATATGGGACATTCCTGATTTAAATTATTAAAAAATTATTTTAAAATTTAAATCATCCAGATATATAAAAAATTTAAATATAGAAGATTATAATTGTGCAACGTCATTTAAAACGAAAAATTATATATTTTATAATAAGGCCAAAAAATATTGGAACACAATGAACCTAGACGCGTCTCAACATTTTTATTTTATTTAAAATAAATACGTATCTACTGTTAAATAAATTTCGCATCACATTAACGCATTCATCAGTAGATTTACAAATGTCTAAATGTTAAGCCTTTTATAAAAACTAACTGGTTTTCATAATATTTTTCATTAAATGTAATTACTAGAAATAGGCGAGACCATACTCGAAGCCCAAAATCTGGCTTGGCTGTCAAAAAAAATAATCGGGCTGAACCGGATAACATTTACAAAATGCTTCGAGCTGGGTCCTGTAGACTTCAAGGATATTTAGGATATTAACATCAAACAGTGGTACCATTTTCACCACCAGGCCCGCATTTTATATTTCCAAGCCTAGTCCGGACAAAATTCTTTTTAATCGGCAGAACCCGGATTTTTTTTATAAAAATTTTGAATATATATATATATTTTTTTAGTTATTAAAGATAACAATGGTGATTTCTAATATTCGATTTTAAAATATTTAGCCAGACCCGGATATTTTTCATAAAACTTCTTAGCCCCCCCCCCCCCCGAGTATGTTTAAAAAAAAATAAAAATACGGGCCTGCCCGAGTACTCGGGTCATGTCTACATGTTTCTAATTAAATTATAGATAATAATTTAATGATTTAGGTAAATGCTTGATTACTTTCGGCGGCAACCTCAATGTTGCTATTAAACCCGGCGAAGTATGGAATAATTCTCCTAAACGTTGTATGCAATGCGCGTGCATCTCAGAAGGTCTCGAAATGAATACCGAATGCTACACGTAAGTTTAAAACATTTTATATATTAGAAAGTACAAGAAATGGAAGAAGGGATTTTTTATTTTCTATTATTTAAATAATAATGGTTCACAGATGTGCAAATTCAAAGGCACCTTGTCTTACCGTTGACGAAAAAGCTTTATATCCCGATTGTTGTCCAAAACCCTGCAACGTATTATATGCAACCTAATAACCATATTCGTCATTTGAACTTTGAATTTACCAAATACTTGAATCGGGATAAAATATTATTACGATTTATATTTTATTAATTCTGGCATAAAATATATATGGTATAATTGTATTATAGATATATTGTTATTTGGGAAGCATTAATGTCAAATGTATTCTACTGGATAGTTATACATTATTACTTAAAAAAATTAAATGTGGACGATTTAGAAAAATTTAATATTTTTGGAAATATTTTATTTTACCTTTAATTTTTCTCTATTTTTAAAAGTTTCTCCATTAATTGATTTTGGCACAGTGCTCGATCGGGTGGGGATGTGAAACCAAAAACTAAATATACATAAATCTGGAAGAAACTGGTGAATAATATAAACTGTCAATTAAAAACTAATGACAAATGATATTTGGATATATGAGCTTCTTAAACTTTATTCTACTTTTTTAAAATACTAAATAGTTATTCTAAATAGTCATTTTTAGATCAAAAAATAAGAATAAATAAATCTTTGTCAAAATATATAATTTAAAAAAACTATAAAAATAGCGCCTAAGTTTCTTTTCTGAATAGAATTCAGAAAGAGGAACAAAATTATTGAGTTTTAAAATGCAATGTTATTTAAAAATTTAGAAATAAAATATTTATGTGGACTGTGGAGTATATTACATTTTTTCATATTAAGAAATTTATTTTAAAATTTTTAGGACATTGTTTTATTGGCTGAGGAAGCCTTAGGCCATATTTTAACAGAAGCTATTATTTTATTGACAATTATAGTATTAAATGTAATTTTAAATCTTAAATTTGTTTATAAAATAAACTAATAACTGAGGAATTCTATGTTTTTCAACTTTATATATCGAAAAAAGGATATGATCAAAAGTTATAAATTAATCAGTCAAAAGTTATAGAAAACATTTGATCGAAACTGGGAATTAAATAGTTTTTTTACATTATCTATGATAGACGCTATGTAGGAAAAAACACTAAAACTTATTAAATGCTAATATGAGCATACATTCATTTTAAAAATCATATGATACTCAAAAAATTCGGTAAATTTTTTTTGAAGCTAGAAATCAAGTCTTCATATTCAACTCAATTTAAATTTCATCCCATCAACAATGAAAATGAAGGCAAATTTTTAATAAAATGTTTTTAAATTAAAAAATCATCCAGGACCATCTAAAGAAATGAATTTTTTTCAAGCTATAACTAATGCATTGGATACTGTATTAGCAAATGATAAAACAGCTGGTTAATCTTTTATTAAAACATTTTTATAAATAAGCCTTAGTGATATTTGGAGAAGATGTTGCATTTGGGGGTGTATTTAGATGTACTGCTGGACTTAGAGAAAAATATGGTACAATTTTATTTCAATTAGTAAAATTATTATCAAACTATAATTTTGAACCATTGATTTAGTTTCATATTAATACCAATCTTATGATTATTTTGTTTTATTATTATAATATAATTTAAAAATAGGTATGTTTATTTATTTAAATAAAAAATTGATTTCCTTTAATTTTATATGCATAAAATTTTTAAATTAGGCATTGATAGAGTTTTTAATACTCCACTATCAGAACAAGGGATAGCAGGATTTGGTATTGGATTGGCTGTAGCTGGAGCTAAGGCCATTGCAGAAATTCAATTTTCAGATTATATCTTTCCAGCATTTGACCAAGTTTTAAGATTTATCTTCATATTTTCCTTTTCTTAAATAAATCTTTCAGAATATTCTGCTCCCTCAACAATTATAATTTATCCTTCTCAAGTTAATGTCAATAAATTAAAATTGTAGATTTTGCCCCTTTGGTTATTTCACTAATATTCATATAATACTAAATGAAATAGAAATATAATCAAAATTTTATCACATATCAATTTTTTTAAAAATTACTTAGATAGTAAATGAAGCCGCCAAATACAGATATAGATCTGGTGGTGATTGGTGGTTAAGAGGGGGGTTGATTATCCGAACACCTTGCGGAAGTGTTGGACATGGAGCACTCTATCACTCACAGAGCAATGAAGCTTTTTTCTCCCATGTTCCAGGTTTAAAGGTATGATATTTAAGTTTATATATATCGTAATCTGGGTTGCCAGATTCATTGAAGCAAAATGCGTGAGAATTTTACTATAATTCAAAAAAATAATTTATTTTAGAACAAATATTAATCTTTATTCCCCAGGGATGATTTTTTTATTTAAATGAATATATCTAAACGCAACAGTAAAATAAAGGATGATCTTATATTATTTGTTTTTAAATATAGAATTAATAGATTTTATTTAGAAAATTACATATTTTTAATAAGATTTTATGCTATTAATTAAATTTTTATTTTTTTTTACACCTTAAAATCTTTAACAAGAAAACTATAATTATTAATTCCGTTTCTAAGCTTATTTCTATTGATTCTCTAAAAAATTATATAAAATAATTTACTTCACATTTATATAAGAATCATTTTCATCATCAGAATCAGGGGAAGCAATCATTATATGATTTTGATTTATCATAATTTATTTTAAAATTAAAAGATATTAAATACTTTTATATTTTAAAACAAAGATGCCTTTTTAAATGTATGATTGAATTAAAATAAAAAAATTATATCATTGGGAGAAAGGTAAATAATGGGGAAATTACACTAAAAGCGGGAGATCTGGCAACCCTGATGGTGATTGATATATGGAATCCACAAGGAATTCTGAATCTCTCAATTTTAAATAATTTATCGGGAATGATTTTTTTTTAAAAATTTGAATAATCTTATTTAACCCGAAATGTTTTACAGCATGTATAGAATATCCAATCCACACCATGTAAGTCAGATAAGCTCGCGTAATTTTTTTATGAGTTTTATAAGTATAAATATATTTAAAATGCAATAAATAAGTAACCAAACCAAACAATTTTTTCAAATTGGCGGGCAATTTCTTTACAAACCTCTAGTTTACCATACCCATCGAAATATATCTAATTCAAAGTTTTAAGGATGATAGATATTAGAAAATGATTTCAAACTATTTTTCATCATGTTTAATTTTTTTTGTTCCCTATTATAAGGTCGTTATACCAAGAGGTCCCACAACCGCTAAGGGTCTTTTATTAGCTTGCGCCGATGACAAAAACCCTTGCATATTTTTGGAACACAAATCCCTCTACAGAGCGGCAGTTGAGTCAGTTCCGATCAAAGATGATTATCGGGTGGAATTGAGCAAGGCCGAAGTAATCAAGAAAGGTTAATATTTTTTATCATTATTATATATACATAAAAAATAAAATATGAGATACATCAAATAATTAGACAAAGAATTTTTTTAACATACACGATTTAGGAAGAAAACTAATACAATATGAGAACTGGTCAATTGATATAAATGATCACATTTTGGAAAAGGATAAAAACTTCTTTAACGTTTCCCGCTTTAATAAATTTGAAATATCGACCACTTGAGAAGCGTTTTTTATATAATCATGAGTCTAAATAAATGATGATTATATTTTTATCCTATTAATTGAAATTAAAAAGGTAGTGACGTAACCCTATTGGCCTGGGGCACTCAGTTACACGTGATGCTGGAGGTGGCCGAAATGTGTTCGAGTCAACACGGCATACAGGCCGAAGTTATCGATCTCCAAACTATTCTCCCGTGGGACAAAGACACCATTTTCAAAGTTCAGTTTTATCGTAATTTTACTATATAATAAACTTATATTACACATGTTAAACATAAATTTGAATAGTATCGTTAAGAGTTTATTTTAAAAAAAAGCAATATAAAATGACATGACAGCTATACTTTCATCAATCGTTTTATTATTATTATTATAGTCAAGAGTAAATATATTTTAATTTAATTTCTATAAAAACTTGAAAATAATATTAAATATAACGAATTTAAGAATCAGATTATGTGGTGATATACAAAGATTTTAGGAATTATATTGCTCATATTCTCATTTATTTATATTTGGATTTCAGCTAACCAATACATTGTATAGAAGATAAATCACTGAATCCAACTTCTAACTGAATTTGAGATGAGATCGATAAAAAGCAATATTTAATTATTTAGTAATGATTAGAAGACTCGATTTTTTTAAAAAAAAAGGCTAACACCAATATTTTTGCCAAAAAATATTATGCAAACCTCGAAATTTCGTTGACAAATGTTCAAACCTTTTTGTCATTTATGAGAAAGATCTCCAGTCATTCGCGTAATATTTTCCAGGCAAAATCTTGGGTTAGCCGTTTTTTAAAAATCGAGTCGTTTAAACAACACTAATATTAATTTTAAGAATTTGTTTTTTTAAAGTGTAGGGTAGTGTTGTAAAATGGCGCGATTTAAATCGATTTTTAAAAACTGCTAACTTAATATTTTAGCCAGAAAACCCGAGCTTTCGCTAATAGATGTCCAATCCTTTGTGCCATCTATGAGAAAAATCTTCAGGCTTGCGTTTTCGTGGATAGAATATTGAGTTAGCCGTTTTTAAAAATCAGTTCAAATCGCGTCGTTTAACAACACCTATAAGGTATTCCTCAAGATAATATCTTTTGTCCCAAGTGCTACGATTTTTCTAAACAAGATATTGAAGACAAGTGTTTTATAAACATGGTATAAATAAATGCTCATAAATCATTTAGGCATAGATTTTAGACAGGGCCGTCTCATAAAAAAATTTTTCTTTTTCGGAATTGAATGATAAAATTTAAAATAGAATAAATTCAAAAAAAAAAGAAAATATTAAGCAATAAAATAATATTTTGGAAAAGTTTAAAATGATAATTTGGAATTTAAAAAAAAATTCTATGATTTTTTGGGCACGATTTTTGTCTACAAGGGCGAGGCGGATTAAAGAAAAATTGGACGTAGCTCATGAATGCCTAATTTTTTCTCCCCAGCTTGAGTAGATTAGACAAAAATTTACGCACGTGCCCAATTGCGTCGATTTCTGGTTCCAAATTTTGGACATAAATTAACTTCTTTTTTTTATTTAAACCAATTTAATAAATTGTTTTAATGCGACAGAGCGTTTGCAAAACGGGGCGATTGATCATATCGCACGAAGCACCAGTGACCTCGGGTTTTGGTGCCGAAATAGCTGCTGAAGTACAAGTAAATAAAAAGAGAAATTATATTTATAATTTTAGTAACATATTCTTGTATATCCACAATAAAAAAATTTTATGATCTATTTGCATTTTTGCGTAGGGATTTTCTATTTAAAATACTCCCCTGAACAATTTAAAAAAAGAATGGAGATAGAACATTAAACTGACGATTTGTATAACTTCGAATAAACAAAAAAAAGGAAACCAAGAATTAAAATGTAGAATATAAATGAAGAGAATGGGAATAAAGAAATATTTTACAAATTAGAATAAAAATGATTAATCCTTGTTTTTTTTGACCAATGATTTATTTTAGAAAGAATGCTTCTTAAATCTTAAAGCGCCGGTACAAAGGGTATGCGGGTACGACACGCCTTTCCCACTCATCTTTGAACCTTTTTATTTGCCCGATAAATACAAGTGTCTTCAAGCCGTCAAAGAAATCATGCAATATTGATTTTTTTTACTAGATAAAAAAGGGGGAACTTTAAATTAGGAACCAAAATATTATATTTAAAAGCGATCAGTCAAAACTCTAGATTTTTTAAAGTATAAAATGCTATTTAAGGTCTTAATTAGATTTTTTCAAACAATGGTTTCCTGATTTTGCTTAACACCTCCCCTAAAATTCTAAATAAGTTCTGTGATCGTATTATTATAAACAGTATTTTATTTATGATAATATAATTTATAAAATATAAACAAACGAATGTTTTTTTTATTATGTTTATCCATCTTAGTATCAGGTAAGGCTAAAATATATAAACCGCCCATTTTAAATATTATTCCCAGTGAAATAAATTTTGGTAAATAATGGTATTATTACTACTAACATTCTTTCTTATAATTCAAAGTAATTCGGTTAGAATTATATTCAACAATTAACTATATATATTATTTATTTTTTTAAAAAGCTATTTTATTTTATATTGAACTCGTATTTTTATAATATACAGCATGATACTTTCTGAATATGTTACTAAGTTATTTATAATTAGTTGTTACATAATAACTAATTATTTTTATAAAGAATATGTAACTCTTACTAGTTACATTCAAGTGTAAGTTTTAAAAAAAATGTAACTATAACTATTAAAAATGATTTTGCGTTATTTTTCATTACATGTATCATGTTAACTTATAATTCAAAGTATAAATAAAAAATTTTTACCAGGTAAAATAAATCTTAAAACAAATTATATTTTAAGTGATTGAAGGAAATATATATATTTATTTTATCCTATACAATAAATTATTTATATAAAAAAAAATTAAAATATCTAATTATACAATATTTATTTTTTATTATGACCTCCGTGTATGCAAATTATTTTATGATTTAAGAATAAAGATGAGAGAAAAAAAAAATCTTTTTAAAAATGAAATTGTTCCTAATTTTAAGACTCGATAAACCAAAATATATTTATTAATTTTTAGCATTCCAAACAATTTTTGGAATACAAACAAACAACTAGAATGCCATATCGAATAGAATTTATCGTAGTTTATATGGCATTAGGTATAAATTTATTTTTAAAAAATTTCAATTATGATTAATTAATTATCAATTAAATTGGATAATGTCAAGACGACGAACGATTTTGCCTTCAGAATATTTATCGCGATTCAGTATAATAATGTTTAGCGTGACAAAAAAAAATTTGTACGCTAGTACTTACATGGATTTTTTTTTTCGAAAATAATTTAAAGAAAAACGACTTATCTTGATCAGAATTACCCCACAAATCATTGGAAAGTTTGCTGTGTTAGGAATAAACAAAAAAAATAATCACTTTTATTTATCGATTCTCAAATAATATACATTATTTTAGAGGTTCATATAATAATATATAAAAGGCGTATGTTTAACATGACACATGAATATTAATCTTTTCGGTATACATTCGCAAAACGGGTAATTTTGAGCACACCTCATCTATGTTCGACAAAATATTAGTTGAAGGAATCTAATTCAATTATTATTTTTTAAAAAAAATAAAAACAAGTTATGCGCATGTGTCAAATTTTAAAAAAACTTACATCATAGTTATCATTGGCCGAAAGTTTTTGTTCCTTCTCGCTGTGTTCCCTCAAAATGTAATTAGTGTCAAACTATATATATTTTTAAAAAAAATCAACAATAAATATGCATAATTATTATGTTAGCAAACATTTAATCCTAAATAACTATTGTATAAACCCTGCATTCACGGTTAGCATGAATTAGCGAAGAATACAAAAATGAATATAAAAATATTATATTTAATATAATATTTTAGTATACTTCACTCAATGACATACAATAATACCTAGACTGACGATGTATTTATTAAGTTTATATCAATGAAAACAGCTGGAGATGCCATTTTGATTACCTATATCATTATTAAAAATTTTAAACGAGAGGCCAATTTATTCCTGTCTGAACGCAAACTTTTGATCATCGAGATAATAAGGAAGCAAGTTATCAATTCGATAGTAGTTTTTAACGTGAGAATAATTAGGGTTACAAAAATGGCGGATCCAGCTGATTTGTATTCAATGACGCTTTCAAATATGAATGCATGGTCAGTCTAGGTAGGTATTATTATAGGTCATTGACTTCACTGCGAAATTCGTGCTAGTCTGTAAAATTTCACACTGACACCTCATTTTTCTTTAAAAAGAAAATCTATTCGAAATTATTAATTAAATATATTTCCTTTTTGTAAATTTATCTTCTACTTCGTTAATTTGATCGCGAAAGTTAATTGAGCGCCATTTTGATTCAATTCATTCAAAAATAAATTAAGGTGGCGTTCAAATTACTCCAAATACTCGAAAATATTTCGAGTCGATTTTGCGGCCATTTTTTTAAAATATATAATTAAATTTACAAATTTTAACCTATCTTTCCACCGAAAAATAGTTAACGCGATTATAAAAATTTTGTTAGAAGAAAAAAAAACCTGATGAAAATACCGGGTTTCTTTGGATCTAGCTATAACGCCATCGACTCGCAGGAAAAATCGAAGGAGAATAAACATATAGCTGGGTGTAACGCGCTATACAAATTTTTTTTATAAAAATTATAATTTTGCATTGCTTAGTTTTCATTACTTTTCCCTAGAAATTCTTATAGTAAATATGATATTTTTAAGATTAATTTTTTAGAGGTTTATAATGGGCTCTATTGGACAAGGGAATTTCTAATAGATGTTTTTTGATTGCCGGGTGTAACACGCTATACAATTTTTTTTTTGGAAATTATATTTTGCAATGCATAATTTTCACTTGCTTTCCTATAAATTATTATGTAAATGATATTTTTAATATTAATTTTTGAGAGGTTTATAATGGGCTCTACTGGACAGGGGAATTTCTAATAGATGTTTTTTGATTGTCGGGTGCAACACGCTATACAATTATTTTTTTGGGAAATTCTATATTTTGCAATGCATAATTTTCACTTGCTTTCCTATAAATTCTTATAGTAAATATGATATTTTTATGATTAATTTTTTAGAGGTTTATAATGGGCTCTACTGGACAGGGGAATTTTGAAATAGATGTTTTTTGGCGGGTCTAACGAGCTATACAAATTTTTTAAAAAAAAATTATTATATATTTTGCCATGCTTAATTAATTTTTATTTGCTTCCCTATAAATTATTATGTAAATGATATTTTCAAGATTATTTTTTTTGAGGTTTATAATGGGCTCTACTGGAAAGGGGAATTTCTAATAGATATGTTTTTTGACCCTTACTCAATATTTCGGACCAAGTGAAAAGTTTAGAAACCTTATAAAAAATAAATAATAAATCAAGTGACGAAACATACGATTTCAAATCGTATTTATTACTGATTTTTTTTAAAAATGAGTGTCATTAAAAATTTTTTATAATTAGTGATGATTTTCGTCATAAACCGGAAGAAGTACCCGGCCCGGATTTTTAAAAAAAAATTAAAATTAGGACCGGGCCTACAGGTCTATGATTTTCGTATAAAGAAGCAATTTCTTAGATAAAACATTATCAGTATTTATTTTCTTTTTTTAGCCTAACACTGCATTCACGGGTAACTCGAATTTGCGGCGGCGAATACAGCATATTTTGTTTACTTCGCCGTGAAATTCTCGTTAACCATGAAAGCGGGGCAAGAAAAGAATACCGAAAATTTTTTGAGGGGCTATTTACTATTTTAACGTCACATTTGGAGATCCCGTTGTCCCCCAACTCGTCTTCGTATAAATCTATTTGATCGAAAAATAAGATTTTTTCGGGAATTTTTAGCATTTCGTAATCGATCGATTCGGAATTTTGCGGGAATGTTTGGTCTTTTTCGAAATAAGAATCAGTGTTATCGAGATTGAGCAATAAATCACCGATATAGGAAGTAGTGAATGTCCAGTCGTAAGATTTGACCATGCCTTTGAGTTGAGTTTCTGATTCTTCCCTGACAAAAAATAACATGATTGAGGGGTAAGAAACTCTGACCAAAAATATTTGATGTACTTAATTTGCCAAAGAGAATAGCGAAAATTATCGATTAAACGATGAGTATATTCTTAACTATCTTGGTAACCATGTGTTTCTAAAAACTTTTTTCCCATTTTTTTATACTTTACTAAACGGATTACAAGAATATGCAATTAAGGTATTGAACAATATAAACATTTCAGGATAAATGATTTCAATCACATTTTAATTTTAAAGTTTGCCAAATTTTTGTTGCTATAATAATTTTTCCCCCCTTTATGCTGGTACTAATAAAGCACGAAACATTTGCATAGCAAAGATGTTTAGAACTTCCAATGGTCCAGCAGACTTTAACAGGGTTAAAATAAAAAAATAATATATGGATGGGTGGGCCACCTAGCCAAAGGTTAAACAAATGGGGATAGAAATTTATCATAACCCCCCCGCCCCCTCCTTCCTAGATAAATATTGACTAAATTATTGCTTATTTCTAAATGAATTTATAAATTTTTTTCTTGGGCAGGGTTGGACTTAGAAAAATAGGTGCAATGCAGGATTCTTAATTTATGGGAAACGTATATATCAAAAAATCCAATTTGGTCTAATTAAGTGATAGCTCACCCTCTATATTCGTTGTGGAGAGGAGCAAATCATGCACGACTGAAACTTCGAATTTACATTTCTATCTTGCATTGAATCAATTTTGTGTAATGAATGGAATATATTGAAGATAGCAATAAATGTCCCAATGACTGAGGAATCTTCGCAATTATATAACCTCTTTGGAAGCTAACCCCTCTAACCCAAAGGTTTATAGAGGTCAATTTCTTTTATCCCCTCCTTTATGCAGACAATGCAAATACAAATCATCAGCCAAAAAGATAATAGGTGATTAAATAAAAAGCTTTGTTAATACCTTTTTTAACTTAAGAATTAATCAAAGATCATTTAAAAAAATATATTAAATATCTCAATTTAAGATTTAGAGAAGACTTTATAGAATCTTTAATACCTTTATCTCTTATATAACATAGGCAAATTTTTTTGAAGAATCTCATATATGAATAATAAATATCTTGCATTTCTATTTAAATAAAAAAAATACTGATCTTAGTTTTGGTAACAAGTGAGGTAAAAATGTAGTTTGTATGAGTACATTATTTTGTTATAAAATAAAATAATTTAACCTTGATTGAAGCCATTCTTTAGAATAAGATACTTTTAGATCATCATCTGGATTTGATTTTCCAATTAATTTTAAGGCATTTATACATTCAAAACTGATTTGAACATTTGAAAAATTATTAATTGTAGAATTATTTTGCTTTAAATTATTCTCATAATTTGATAGATTTTTTAGATTGTTGTCATTTTTATTATATTTAATAACTAATTTATTTTGTGGGAAAACCATTTCAGGTATTTCAGTCAAATGGGGTTTTAGTTCTCTCATAAATCTATATAATAATAATAAATAAAATATTAATTAAAAGGCATTTAAATTATATTAAAGCTCTATTCAATAAATGAAGCATTGGCATAAAAGAAAAGGGGGGAGGATCCTGCTAAAGTTTAATAAATATCATTTCAGTGAAATAGCCTTTCCTTCACCCACACATGAATACAATGTCTTATAAACCATATTTTTTGAAGCAGAAGTTAATATATATTTTTTTTAAATAATGGCCAATATAAATTATGAAAATATTTTTTTAAAAAAATGAAACAACCCAATAACCCCTACATTATAAATATTATGGATACGCCAATGCTACAATTCCTTAATATTTGTATATAAATAGAGTAAGATAATCAAAAAATAATATTTTATTCATGATAATTTTAAAAAATTTTTACTTGCAATAATCACATTTATTACAATTTGTTCGACATTCAGAAGAGAGTATATGATTTTTGAACGATTCAAAGCTCCAACCTTTGTTGAAATAAAATTTTTCACTACTCATTAAAATTTTTATATTTCATTCATATTGTAAAATAAATTACTCCTTTTAAATGACGGGCAATTTATAATTTAAATGACGTTGACGCAAATATGTGTCACATAAGTTTTGAAGGTGATTAATTAAAATATTATCTAGTATTTTACGAAATGTCCTAAATTTATCGTATTCTTACCATTGATATTTCTCAAATAAGGACTAACTAAAATTTTAGTACAAATGACACTAATAGGGGTAACAAACACAATCGATTTATAAATTGTTGTTACAGACATAGATAGAGCTCTAACTGACATTGGGGAGGGGTGAACAGATATAGACATTAAAAATGTAATGCCCGAAAATTCTTATAATATTTAACAGCTGGGCGTATGTTTCTTAAAATTATAACAGACAAGGCATATTTTTAGAAAATTATAAAGAGCCAAGCAACTACTACTTACCGGGCCGGGCTTTGCAGATTAATTTATGTGTATTATTGGGATATGAGATTTTGAATTCCATATCCCAGATATATTATGAATAAAAAAAAATTAAGGGAATGGCATTGAGCACTAGGACCTCAAAACACTACAATTTGAGCCGAGTATAATTTTGAAAGAATATCCCATTGATCTAAGCAAATTATTTTTCCATATAAACATACTCGGGACTTGAGAATCTTAAATTAAAATATTTTTTAGAGAAAATTTGTTTATTCATTACTAAGGATTTTGTTTAATCCGAAATCATTGCATATTAAAGAAGGTTCCACGTAAATTCGGCTCACGACAATTCGGAAGGGCGGCAATTCACCGCGGCGACAATTCGGCGCGTTTCTATTACAGTTTAAATATATTATAAATTACTTAGTATAAAAAAATAAGGATGATTAAATAGGAGTCATTTTGAATGTTGGTATTATTAATTATTTCTTTATATTTATTACAAAAATCTCAATTTTATTTACTAAATGTGTAATATCGAAAAAAAAATTAACTAATATTTATACCTATTTCTTTAATCAATTTGCCACATTATAAGGTATGATTTGTAACCAATATTATGTAAGCCTGGAAATTTAACGCATAGAAGGAAGTAGGAAAAAAAAAGATTTGACCTCTATCTCTAATCTTATATATTATTTGGGCTACAATCTTAATCAATCGTGTTTAAAAATAGACCCAAAAGGCCCCCCTGATAAGTATTATAATGGTAAATCTTAAATCCTCTTTTCACGCCTAATTTTAAACAATAAAAAAATTATATACCCCCCCCCCCCTTCCTGATAAATAATATGCCCATAATCTCAGCTTACATAACATTGGCTACTAATCAACAGACCTTATGTAGTTAATTGGTCAACCAAAGAAATAGGTATAAATATTGGTTGTTAATTTTTTTATGATATTACACATTTAATTTTTGATTTTTATAGTAGAAAAAATTAGCCTAAGAATAATATTTTTTTAATACCCTCCTGTTAACTAATATGAATCTCGGCTTACATAACATTGGCTTCTAATTAACATACCTTATGTAGTAAATTGGTCAACCAAAGAAATAGGTATAAATATTGGTTGTTAATTTTTTTTGATATTACACATTTAAATTCTGATTTATATAATAGAAAAATTAGCCTAAGCTTAATAATTTTTTTAAAAAGGATTAATAGAATTTAAGGATTTTTAATAAATCTAAAAAATGAGTCAGTCTTAATTTGATTTTTGGATCAGCCTATTTTTAAAAACGGTCGATTTAAATTCTAGCCAAAATAATATGTAAGATTCGAGATAGAGGTCCAAACCTTTCTTTCTTCTATGCCCAAAATCTAGGCTTACTTAACATTGACTACTAATCAACACCTTATGTGGTAAATTGGTCAACCAAAGAAATAGGTATAAATATTGGTTAATTATTTTTGATAGTACACATTTAGTAAATAAAACTGAGATTTTTGTAAAAATAAATATGAAGAAATAATTAATAGGACCAACATTCAAAATAATTTCTATTTAATCATCCTTATTTTTTTATACTAAGTAATATATAATAAATTGCAACTGTAATAGATAAGCGCTGAATTGTCGCCGAGCCGAATTGTAGTGCGCCGTTTTCCGCGCCGAATTTACATGATACCATTAAATAATGAGGTTCTTTGTAGTCATTATGTAATATATAAATTTTTTGAGTTTAAATATCAAGATTAAGATTATACTTAAAAAAAAACTTGAGTTACAATTAAGACTATCATGTTTATAAAGTTAACAAATATAAATAATTTTATAAAAAAAAAATAATGCTTTCCATAATACTGTTGTAGCGTTTAAATTTAAATATTAAAAAAGGTTTTGTAATGCCTAAAATCGAAATAAAACTGCTAACAAGATTCGCCTTAAGTAGGCAAACTAATAGATCACAACCTGTAAAATATTTTTGATTTCGTTTAAATAAATTTAAGCACCAATTACTCTTGTTCATATCTTTTCTAAATAAGAAATGAAAAAGAATTCATAAAAAAATATATTAGATTTTATTTATCAGTACTCTTAAATAAATGATATAAATTTGTAGTACGCAAAGGTTAGAATTCGTGATAAATCAATTAGAAAAGGTATATAAATAGGAGAAGATACAAAAAGATAAAATTAGAGTGCATATACATAAATCGCTAAGAAATGTTAGTATTAAATTTATTAAAATGGAAGGTTTGGTGAAAAATTATAATGACAGAAAGGGAGAATAAATAAAAGAGCTTACAATCGATTTCTTTAAAAAAGAAGGGAGATAGTCTATGCATTAAAAAAAATGAATATTATGCAAATACTGTGATAAATATGATATATGATTTGTAAAAAAATTAATGGAAAATATCTATTCTATGAGACTAAACAAAAAAAAACCTAAACTATAACCAACAACAACAGCAAATAATACGCTAACTCGGGTCACATTCAACACGAACGATGGTAAATACCGTCGAAGTCAACAAATATTATTAAGGCATACTTATGAAATTTTCCGATTTGTCCTTATATTTTTCTTTATATAAATGACTCTATTTAAGCCAAAATTTTGACTAAAAGGTAAGGGGCGTGTCGTATTTTGCATATTATTATATTATCCTTTTTTTTAAAATAAATTTGTAAAAAATAATACTAAATAGTAATACTCAAAAATAATAAGACGACTTGTGTTTTTATGATAAAATTGAAAAATAAAAAGAGAAGAAAGCTTGATTCTTGATTAATTGTTTTTAAGAACTTTTTTAAAATTAACCTATATTAAGAAACTCTACATTGATCTTATTTAATAATATTTGGGAACTTTACAAAAATATTGATATCTTAAAATTTGAATTTGAAAAATTGATTAAAAAAAAGAATGATATAAACATATTTGTGCGTTTAGGATATGAATATTCATATAATTTTAAGTTAACTTTAAATAAGAATGAGAATAATACCGTTTAATGTAAAAGCAAATTAATACTGACTAGTGTAATGAAACAGGCCTATTCAAATCGGATAATGAATTATTCGTAATCATTGTTTTGAACGAATCAAAAAGATTACTATTCGTAATAATCGAATATGAATATTTTATTATTCGTTCTATTACGAATAGCAAATTAACCGAATTGCTATGCGATCATTTTAACGCCGCAATTAAAGCGGTACACGTGGCATAATATAACGGGGGTGTATTTGTGAAATAATATATATTATATTGCTACAAAAATGAGCGAGAAGACTTTTAGCACCTTTTGTATGTTGGACTGGTTTTAGAATATGATATAGTTAGTTATATTAATTAGTATTTTTTTTTTGAAAAAAATAATTTAATTTTATAATAAAATGATGGGAAGTTCGTGCAAATTGTAATCGAAGACGTTTGAAATGTGAAATAACGAATCGCGAATAAATTTTTGTCCCAGGATAGATGATCGACTCATGCCAATATCCTAGCCATGGATGGCAAAACCTCCACGACTACAGAACAGCATGGGATAGCTTCGCCGTCTATGGTCAATATAGAAGGATAACGGTAATTAGAATTCGTTTTCGACGACGAAAATGGTAATCTATAAGCTCGAACCTTTTCGATCACAGCTGAGACGGCGGAAAGGCGAGGCAAGGAAGTATGGATGGGTGGAGAAGAAACTACGGGGGCCATGTAAAAAAATTTGGTAGGGAAGGAGCAGGCATGGCGTATAGCGGTAACGTCGATACAATTGAGCAAGAATTTCAACATCTGGTAAAAAGTTTTGAATGTTGGCAAAAGAAAAATTTAATGAGCCGTAATCACTTATATTAAATACAGTGTAAAACAGTGGTTAGTTATCTAATAATAATTAAGCTGAATTTCTTGTGGATACAAAGTTGCCACATATATATCTATCTGTCTATATAATCTAAAATTTCTATCCATCCACCCCTTGACGTATATTGAGGAAATGTCAATCGAGGTGGGTTATAATTTTTATAAAAATTGTGGAGGGAGGATGGGCCGGTAAAAATTAATTCGAAACAAAAATGGGTGAGGGTGAGCGGACATTTAAAAGATTTCTCGGTGCACAACTTAGTGCTGCTATTTATTTTAGGAGCCAAACCAACCTATCAAAATAATTTGTAAACATGGGCGAGCGAAATTAAAAACACTAAGGAGCGGGTTGCAAACTTTATAAAACAATCAGCTGGCCGAATATCTATTTACCAAATGTTTAGCTTTTTAAAACTAAAAAAAAAATGTCCGTCCCAAAATCCAAAGGTATAATTATTTATATATTTTTTAAGAACTTGAGACTTCGAAACCCCACTTTTGAGCACACACAAATGAGCTAATCCGTCGTTCATTTTAGCCATGGGGGTCACCGAGAAGTCTTGACTTATGTGGGATAAGTTGCATACGTAAAGGGATATTATGTCAACTGGAGTATGGTGGCCACCGGGGAAATGAGAGCGAGCCACGCCATTTACAATATTATTCGCCGTGCTACTCACGTCGCCTATATTTAGGTTAGCGTGGTTCTCTTTAACTGATTCAGGCACCCTTTCCGGTTCAGCAGTGTCGAGTACGTATAAAGGGTTGTCGAAACCTTTCTTTATCATTTCTTTGTACGATTGCGCGACACCCGCTTTGATTACTCGGTTGGTTCGTCCGACCGATTCTTTATCGTGATTATTACGCAAGGACGGATTGGTAACGATACAATCGCAGCATAACCATGATACTAATTTATTTTGGCTCGTGGGCAATTTTTTCTTGTCGTAATTATCAAAGTTTTCGAACTTCGAGGGGTAAACGCTCGGAACGGTGGAAATCTTATCTATGATATTGGTGAGTTGACCAGAAATCTCGTCCCGGTAAACGAAGGAGCCCCTGTAATGCCTAAGGCCTATTATTCAAAGCGTTTTTTTTAATATAAAGTAAAATAGATTCTAGATAATACAATTTGCATAGGCGGTGGATCGCTTGAAATCCCGCCAAAAGATTTTTGGGCTGGGCCGGACAACCCTCGCAAAATATTTTAACGGGACAGGGCTGAAAAATCTTTTCAAGAATTTGACCTCTAATTTGTATTCACAAGTTAAAAAACAAAAATAAGGAGAGCGATTAATGGTAGTGATTTACAAATCCCAGTTCGAGCCCGGGCCGAACGTCTATTTTTAAAAAATAATTTCGGTTCGGGCTGGGTCGAGGTAATATTTTTAAAAATTTCGGGCCGGGTCGACAAATAATTTTTATTTCGGGTCGAGCTTTTCGGGACAAATAAAAAATAGATAAGTTCGGGATCGGACCAGGCAAATATTTAAAAAAAAAATTAGGCCAGGTCGGGCTTGATAAATTAGGCCCGATGCAGATTACTAATTAAATTAATGGTCTATGTATTTAAATAGGTATATATTTTATTAACGTAAATAGTCAAAGCTTGGAACAGGAAATGGAACAAATTTAGGAAACTGGAGCATCTCTCTTAAAGTTTCTATAAAAATTGGGAACCCACTTTTACGGTTCTAACAAGAATATATTCTAATTTATATATATATAATATATAACTTTTCAAGATATTGAGCGCTTCAATTTAGAAGATTTATTCATTTTTTTATGAAACAACCCTTTAACAACATTTTAAAAGTCATTCAAAACCTTATCCATTTTAGTCCAAGTTCCAAACCCTAACTCCTAATATATCCGAAAAACATGTCTAATAAAAAAGTATTATATAAAGTAATATATATAATATACTTTGAATTCTCTTAAAACCGTGGAACATGTATCTCAAACTGCCCATGTACCTATGAATCTGGCTCTCGATATCTATATCTGCTATCAGACCCCAACAAAGTCCCAGAATGGAATAGTAAACCTGGCCGGATTGAGTCGTGATTTTGAACAGATCGAGATTCCTTGGTTCGCCGTGGAGAGCGAAATTAACGCAATCCATGAGAAATGTCTTGGGATGGTATTTGCTAAATTTTTTTAAAAAAAAGATGAATTACTTTAGGTTGATCATCGTCTGTTATACCAAGGACAATCGTATACGGCATTTTAAAATAAATAGACGATTTAGGTGAAGGTAATAATAAATGACAAGAGACGGCTATACAAATAGTCATGTCCGAGATTGTAAAGAGTGAAGAAGAGACCTAGGAAAGGCAGTTTAAAATTTTTTTAAAATCTAGAAAAATCGAGCCGGGGCTTAAAAATCTTTAAAAAAAAACCCTGGTCGGAGTTTAAAAATCCATAAATAAATTGGGAGAATTTGAATTTGCATGGCAAACTTTAAGATATTAAAAAAAAATTATTTTCTTATATGTCTTTCTTGTCAGGGTTCGCAACAGTGTTTCAGAAAAATTCCCCAAATTCAAAAATTTGTTCTTTTTTTCTGATCTTTTGAGGATTTCATAAATCGTTCATGCAAGATTTTTTTTGCTAAAATTTCGCTCAAAATTTCTAATCTTTATTTTTTGAAAGAAAATATCGTCATTTATTTTGGTTTTCAACGATTATTTGCTCAAAATTTTTGATTGGGGGAAAAAAAATCTTTAAATGCTCATTTAAATTTTTCTTTAAAAAAAAACCGTGGTCTGCAGTGAAGTCGACAATGCTCAAGCGAAGAGTTACGCCATTCGCTACGCTAGGTAAATAAACACTATTGTTTAAAAAAAGGTGTCAAAGATAAAATAACTAAGCTATTTCTGAACTAATAATAATTTCGCGGATTTTTTTTTACAAAACGTTTAAAACATAATATTTCAACAAAATAAGGTGATAAAAATGGTTGCCAAGAATTAAATTGAGCAAGCAAATTTATAAGAGTAAATATAATTTTTAAAACTAATTTCTAATTTTCTTTTTTTTTCAAATTTGCGGATAGCTGGACTAGAAAGTTCTAGAACCGGAACCATCTTGAAAATTTGGAATTGAAATCTCGTTGGATTTCAAAATGTCTTGTATGAAGATAGCACGAATGCCATCAAGATCTCCAGAAGAGTCTTTTTTTTAAAAAAGATCTAGCGGCTTTAATTGTCTCGTCAATGTTAATTTCTGGAGCAATATGATAGTTCTGGTTTGAATTGACAAACTATGAGTCACATATAGGGTGTTTTTAAAACAAAACTTTAAGGGTGGACTCGTTGTTAGGAGCTAAGGAGTCTTCAGATGTCATGGCACGAAAGGCTGAGTTTATGTTAAGGCTATTTATTTTATTTGAAACTATTTTGGCCTTACGGGTAGGGAGTGGATTAGATTGGTAAGCGTGGGGTGTAGCGGTTGGAATGATATCTGGATTGAAGAGGGATATTGAAGTTTTAATATGTTAGGATAAGAAGATATTTTTATTGTCGGGTATTTTAAGGGTAATTGGTGAAGCTTAGTAAAATTTTTCCAATTTGAAAGGTTTCACGGATTGTTTACAAGTTAAATGGATTAATTTGTTAAAAGATTCCGTGCACCCTTGAGGTATAAGGGATATGGTGGGATAGTTGGGTAGTGATAAAAATTTATTGATTGTAGGTTAGGTATTTGTTGACTTGGAGGTGAGTCAGTAGCAACAGTTGAGGAAGGAGGGCTTACTAAATTTAATAAACTGAATGGAGGAAAATCTGTAGGTGTTATACTTGGTAGCCCTGAACCTCGGCAGCTAAAGGATGGGGGACCATGAATTTGAAACTTTCTAGCTTTGGTTATATTTGCAGATTTATCGCTTATGGGACATATTTCATGCATTTGAATCACCAAATGTTTCCTTGACAATTTAGTTATAAATTTAACTATGTCATGTTATGTATATGCATCAACATGATATTATTTATAGGAAGACATATTTGCATCATCTCTGGTGATTTAACAAATTTATTTGTGTCTATTCAAACCAAGGAAGGTGAAATGTTTAAAACATAGTTGGCATATTTTTGAAGGTTTAAGATAATGAATGATAGTTTTATAAATTAGAAGAGTTGAGGACAGCATCTTGATAGAAAAATCCAAGGAATAGTGGAAAACGTTATAATGAGAACATCTTAACATAAATATACCTAACCTACATTCATGAGCCAATGAATTTTTATCATTACCCAACTTTCCCACCATGTCCCGCATACCACGGGGTGCTCGTAATTCTTTTGCGAAATCCTTCTACAAATTAATCCACTTAACAGTAAACAATGTTGGAAACCTATCAAATTGGAGAAACCTACTAAGTTATACCAATTTCACCCTTAAAATATTTTATTATCCAAACATATTAAATCATCAATATCCCTATTCAACCAGGATTCCAAACAAACCCCTACACCCCATACCAATCCATCCAATCCACTCTCCATTGCCCGTAGGGCTATAAAATAGTTTCAAACAAAATAAACAGCCTTAATATAAACTCAGCCCTCCAGGCTATGACCTCTGAAAACTCCTTAGCACCAATGAGTCCATCTTAGAAGCCTTGTTTCTAAAACACCCCATATGTGATTCGGAATTTGTCTTCTCAAGCCAAAACGACCATATAACTCCCGAAATCAACACTGATGAGACAATCAAAGCTGTTAGATCTTTCTAAAGAGACTTTTCCGGAGGTCTTGATGGCATTCGTTCTATCTTCTTTCAAGACATTTTAAAACCCAACATTTTATGTAGAGCCCTTTTACAGAACCACAGGTTTAAATATAATTCTTAATGGACCCCTTCCATCACCTATCATTCCTATATTCTTTGGGCTTATAGACCTCAAAAAAGAACGGAGGTATTCGCCCAATCGTTGCTGCGTTCTTCCGGAGGACTGTCTCTAAGATCATTGCTTCACGAATAAAGGAATGAGAGAACGGGGGCTATTGCGATATATGCTTAGGTCCAGATAAAAGCCTGATTTCAATTTAAGAAAATACTTCTTTTTTTTCAAAGAAAGTAATTAGTGATTATTTCGTAAATACAATTACTCCGATGTCGGTCATTCATTGTGTATATATATATTTAAAATTATTCTTAGTTTTTAAAATTAATATTTTTTGGGAGGGATTAATTAGATATAAAAAAAATAATTAAATAATATCCCAACAATAACAGATTAATATTTTATGATTGACTTCTATCTTATTCTGAACTCAGAAATTGAACGGGGAAAACTGTGCAATCTAAATCTAGATTGTGACTATTAGAGGCCGTCTTAGCTCATTTTTTAATCGCAGATTTTTCCTTTTAACGTCGAGGATTTAAAAAATATCACCTGATTCAAAAAAAAATGAAACGTCAACGTCAAAAGTCGAACTAAAATGCCAGATAGGACGGTCTCTCATATGCAATCCAAAATGAATAAAAAAAAATAAGGAAGAACATAATTCCCAAGATTAAAATAGGACTAGATAACAATTATACAACATCGTCATTATTTTTGTCATTTATAATGACATCGGTCGCGATATTTGTGTCCACAATGGCGCCCGGACTAGTCCGTGATGAGGGGAATAATGATCTTCCATATTATATTTTTTATATATATTTTTTTAAAACCCATATTGATGGCACAGGGATGTGTGGAGAGCATTGCCAGTGCCAGCTGGTATGACACCGATGGGAATCTTTATCGCTTCCTCCCAGTCATTCCGCGCCATCAAACCATTTATTACCTGTGACGCGAATATTACAAAAGCATAATTTATACGATGCTCGAATTAAATCAATATAGAAAAACTTTAATTTTTATTATTATTATTTTTAGAAAACATTTGAGCAAAAATCTAGCTAGGTCCACATAAGACCGGTCCGTTAATTCAATGTTTGCACAAATGAAGTAATATGCAATGACGTATATATACACTAATTAAATTGGCGATTCATTAATTAAAAGTGTACGTTATAAGGAGTGTTGTTAAACGGCTCGTTTTGCGCCGATTTTTAAAAAGGGCTAACTCAATATTTTAGGCAGAAAAATATTGCCTAAGCTTAGAGATTTCGCTAATAGATGTCCAAACCATTGTTCCTTCTACAAACAAAATCTTCAGGCTTGCGTAATATTATTCTAGATGAAACATTGAGTTGCCGTTTAACAACACTAGTAGTAAGGAGTCTACTAATTGTCTGATCGATCATGATAATATTGTCATTAAATCGACATAAAAATCATAAAATGGGGCTAAAGCCGGTTCCTATGTATGTACACTTTTAAATGCACGAATCGCTAATCTAGTAGTATATACTAGAGATCTGCAAAGTTGGGCCCGGCCAGTACCCGACCCGAACGGACTTTGGGGCCGGGCCTAATTTTATTTAAAATAATCGGGTTCGGACCGATCTGAATTTAACAATTTTAATAGAATTTGTTATGCAAAATGAAAATATTTTATTTTATTTATTGAAAACGACATATAACATGTCTTTTATTTTGAGTAATTATAAAAATTAATATTTAAATAAATTCGAAAAATTAGGCCCGATGCAGATCACTAGTATATACACGTCATTGCATACTACTTACTTATAAATGCACTAATAATTATTTTATAAATTATCGCTTCGAATAATATCTTGGCGCCCATTTTAGAATTCGTAAAAATAATATATCATAAATTTTATAAATTCATCGCCTCAAAATCATTGGCGAATGTTTCTTGCAATTTTAACCAATCAAAGTGTAGAACTTAGAAATTACAACTTTTTTTTAAAAAAAAAACTAGAACCCTGGGAACAGGTTTTTAAGATCGAAAGACAAAATTATGACCGCTAAACGGCTTAATCTAATGTTGGCAGATAAAATAACTAGTCAAACTTTTTCTAAAATCGTTAAGAAAATTTTTATAACTGTGGGGTACTCTGCCCCGGTCTTAGTTGACCTTTTATATCTGCGACCATATACCGAGCCATCAAAAAAAATATATATTACAACTTCCGCAGTGTGTGAAGGGTGAATTGGTAATGCCAAGATCATAAATTTACAATTTTTATTTATCAATTTAGATGCCATATGTGCCCTAAATTGCGGTATTCTGACTGTTTGTTATATAAAGCTTAGGGGTATCTCATACCCGTTTAATTTTTTGATAAAATTTTTGCCGCTCTTCGTAAGCCCTTTACAGTAAGGCATAAATAGATCAAATTGTTATGGCTTAATATATTCAAATTTTTTTTTTAAACTTAAATAAATTATGTATTCCACGATAATGATTTAAGAAACTAATATTTAAAAAATAAAAAGAAATATTAGAAAAATTCAAGTGGTCCAAACCGGGCATTAAACCCCGGTTCATTGTTAACGTACATGCGAATTAGAAAGGAATATATATATTGTTTTTAAAAATATTATATCACTGTTCTCTAATAAAAAATTATATTTGAGCCGTGCAAACAATTAGTATATTTTCACGATCCTCTTCTATCAAATTATATCTTTAAGGAGGAAGAATAATTTTTATAACTGGGAAGATCTCTATAAGTGCTAACATTGGGTAGCTAGACCGTTAAAAAGAAATCTATAAGAATATCTTAAAATAATTGCTGATTCATTGGTCAAAACTGATTATTAAATCTTATAAAAAGAGTTAAAATGTCAAAGGGTTCAAACAGGTTCACATGATGCAGTTTTAGAGGTTCGGGTTAAAGTGACAAATTTTTAACGGCCTAAGTTAGGTTTAAGTTCAGTAAATAATAATGGCTAAGACCGGTTTAATTGTTCTTATTGAATCCCCGAAAAAAACTAAACGAATAAGTTATTGATAAAAAAATGGATAATTTTTTAAAAAAACTTACTTTAATTTTTTTGATCTTAGAAATTACATAATAATATTATTTATTATTCAAAAATAAAGCATTCATTTGGCAGTTCACTTGGCATTAGCATCTGCCAAACTAGTTAAATATTATTTAATATTTACTCTGTAAGTAAACGAGAGGTTTTTTTTAATATAAACACAAATTTATCATTTTTGAATCATAGCCAAATAACGTGATATGATTATATTTCTCATTAAATAAATTAAAAATACACTTAAATTATAGCTATTTAATTTATTATCAATATACTTCAGGGATGTAAATAAAAACATTATTTCGTGTAAAATGTTAAAAAATTTTCATTACTATTACAATCCTTTTTGGAAAATTTTATCTACCAATATTTTCTTCACAGCAAGAAATGGTTATGGGCAACTGGAGTCATTTAAGAGTTGAGACTAGAGATGGGGGTGGGCCGTGCCGCGACCCATCGTATCACTGTGGGTCACGTCGTGAGTATTTTTCCCGGACGTAATCGGGTGTGAACATAAATTTCCCGTAAATCACGGAAATTTTGAATTTTAAAATTGTGTTTTTATTTAATGAATATAAATTTGCAATTTCATTCTAATTTAATTTAGTTTCTTTTTTTTAAAAAAAAAGAAAAAATCTTCCGCATTTAATAAACACCCGGTTGGTGTGTTTTTTCAAAATTTTACAAACTAGGCCAAGAATGTTGATGTAACATATGGACAACAAAATATAAGAGATATACTAGTGACCCGAAAAAACTCTCATGAATACTATAGCTCCAAAAATATAGGATAAAATTAAAATTAAAAGCATGATCAATAATAATCACGTGTCCATAATCGCCGAATTTTGGATGGATGACTATAAAAGTCGAATTCTTTTAACCATTATTACAGGATATATTATCGATAAAGATTTTTAATTTTAAAAACATAAAACAGGTCAATATTAAAAGTATCAGAGTTGTTAAAGGATCTAGATACAGATACCACATTTTTATATCCAAAATTTAGATATAAAAATGTGGTATCTGTATCTAGATAGATTTTTGATTAAAATATCGGTATCTAGATATTATTTTAGACGATGTATCTGTATCTAGATCCATTTTAAAAGTATCTTTTAACAACTCTGAAAAGTATAGTCAATTAAATTTTAGAAAAAATACACAGAGGTAGAAAATAATTTAAGTGACTGATAACGGAGAAAATCATATAAGTGCACCCAAATATGACATTAAATAATGTTATGCACTGTATTTTTGACAATTGTTTACCTGACCTTAAGTTTAAATGGTGTAAAAAAAAAATTATACAATATTTCAAACAGCACTCTTAAACAAGATGTAACTCTGTATACCTCATGATACAGTACAGAGTTTCTTAAAATCCTATTCTGAAATATAGGTGTGCTTAACAAGAAAGAACTAAATAGATTAGCCACAATTGATATCAACATCATACACAAGTTAGACAAATTTTTATCAATATTTTAAGAATGCTCGGGTGATCTGACGACAGATTCTCATACCATAATAAATGAAGTTTATCTATGGAATTAAAAATTTGTAGAATTTTGTCAACCTTCTGAAGGTGATACAATAATAATCAAAACTTAAAAAACAGGACAATATTTCTTTTAGATTTAATACTACAAAAGTTAGGCATAATTCTAGATCCAAATTTCAAGCGCCTAAGTTTTTAATAGAGAAGAAAAGGAAGATATATATAAAACAATCTTAAAAACGCTAAATTATAAAATTAGATGATATGCATAAGTGAATTCCAGCTATCATTAACTTTCCTATATTCATCATACACTCATAAAAACTGTATATTCTGAATGAAACATTTAGAGAATTTCTAGATGATTCTGATTAAGCATCAACAGGTGAACTTAAAAGATAGCTCATAAGACAAATAACAATGACAATATTTTGTAGTTTTGGAAGCAGGAAAATTCATTTTCTTTTTTGAGAAAATTAGCGAGTAAAATTTTGTCAGTCATGTGAAAGTTATTTTCTGTAGCCAATCACTTATTAAAAAAAAAGTGTACACATTTGAAATAAAAATACATGAACATTATAAATTGTATTATTATTATGGAATTAGAGAAATATACAAAATAAATTCAAAAAAGTGTAAAATTATAGAAATAAAATTTTGAAAAATTAAAAAACACCATGAATTTTTGGGTGTGAATCAAAATATTGCCTTTCATGAGTGGACAGGTTGGGTAAAAAATTTCTTAGTGGTAGGTGAATTTTTTTTATTGCCACAGTGAGTGGGTGGGCCACGAATAAGAAATTAGGCCTGCACCCACCTCTAGTTGAGCAGTTTTGTAAATTTTGCTTTAGAGTCCCCAAGCCATAGGGGTATATATCAAGGGATGTAGTTAAGCAGCTCATTTAAGCCAATTTTTAAAAACGAATAAGTCAATATATCCAGAAAAAATTATGCAAGACTTATGGATATCTATTAATAAAATCTTGAGGCATATGAATTATTTTTTCTAGTTAAAATATTAAGTTCACATTAAAAATTGGCTAAAATTAAACTGTTTATAAGCCTGCGAATTATAATATTTTAAATATTTTATCATCTAAATCAACTGTACAAAATTGTGATTTTAAGTTAGCCAGGTAATTTCATTATATTTTTAAATGAGCCCAATAACATTATAATTTTCTAAAACAAATCATGAAACTATATAAATCTTTAGGTTAAAATTTATAAACAAACTATTGATTTGATTTTTTTAAAGAAAAACTGTATTTGACTGAATATTAGTAGTAAAATATTTCCTGTTGTAATCAAATTCAAAAGCATATCATTTATAAATATGTATAAATTACTTCATGAATTAGTCCATCCCCTGATATTGTAATAATTCCATGCCATTCATTTATATTCAAATTTTGAACTAACTCCCTGGCATGGTTACTTTTTTCTTAGGATTATAGATAAAATACAATAATTTATACAAGATAATACCTGTTATTACTGTTGAATGTAATATATCACTTTTTAATAATTCAGGGAGCAGATAATTTTTATAAATTTTAAGACCTCTCTTTCGTCCACCATGTGGATTTATTAAGATTAAATATTTTTTAACTACCATCTATTACCTATAACTATAGATCTAGCCATAGTTTAATTTTGTGAGCTAATGTTTTAATAAAATATAGGTTTTGAAAATTTAGATGATACGTGAGTTATGTCATAATATAGATTATGGGAATTTATGTGATAGTTTAGGTCGCATAAGCCTTCTATAGCTGAAGGTTAAAAAGACCAATCATATGATGGAAAAAATTAGATTTAAATTTGAAAAGCTAATCAGAATGTATTGAAGGCTTGGCAAAATAGGATGATTGACATTCTGTCAATGATTACATTCAAATCTTGTACATTGATAGTATGTCAATTTAGTAAAAATATCTGCTTCATTTAAAAAGCTATTAATTATTAGCACAACATTAAAACAATCGAAAATATTTTAAACAATAGACCCGTGAAATTTATTATAAATTTTTATCAGTAAAGAACATAGCTGTAACGTAATCTTGTAAATCGGTATTAACAAAAATTCTAATGATTGAAATTGCATATTATAGCATGTAGATTACAAAATGTGAAACCATGCCTTAATTTACTCTCCCACTACATTTTCGAAAAATTTTTCAAAAATTTTGAATAGTTTTTATAATTCCATTTAAAAAATATCTTTTCAGAGGTTCATTCCAAAATTCTATCAATGGTGGGTATTAGTGATAATCATCGATTAGGAACATGTACTAACTAACATCATCCCTATCATACGTAGTATTTGTACTTGAAACTAGAAATTATATAATGATGCTGTCTTCATAACTCTAAAATATTGAGGAATTATAATTCTATGTCTTAAATACATAATGTTTTGCTCCTACTTAAAATGAAATATAATATAAAGACAATTATTTTATAGAAAATAAGTCCGATAAAATTTATTATTATTATATTAAATGAATATAATGATAATTTAATTAAGAGAAAAGAGATTCGACTTCAAGAAAATGTAGTTCAACAAATATAATGTTCCTACCCTAATTCCTTAAAATTAAGTAACATAAATATATTAATCATTAAGTTCATTAGTTAAGCCTGATCATCACTGGCAAAAGTAATATCTTGATTGCGCCAATATTTTTGTCTGATGAGTAATTAATCAGTTTTTCAATTCACTCTTAAACCGAGTTTAAAGCTAAACAAAAACTAACGGTACTCATTAGACGGACTTTATCGAATTTTGAATTTCCATTCAAAATTCAATTATATCATAGTGAATAAAAGACATTCCCCAATTTCAAAATATTTTTGAATTTTATGATTTTACGAGTTTTATATATATTTTCCTTATAAAAAAAATTATGGAGACTATGCCCCTCCTTTTTGTAGGCCTTCGTTGGATTGGAAAGGAAGCTAATTCAGAGACTTAAAAAATAACATATTTTTAAATAGTTAAAATATAAAAAAAATTAAAGTGATAAATTTTTTTCAAATATCTGGGCATAATTTAGGTTATTTTCTTCGTGAAGCCCTCATCAGGCTAAAAATGTGCCTTGAGGTAATGAATAAAATATAATTGCATATCTTTTTATAATTGCAACATTTATCATTTTCATTAAAAAATTCTACCCATTTTTCTTCTGCTTTCATTTTTTTCACCGTTTTGAGATATGTTGACTTAGATATTTAACAACATTATTAATATTAGAAATAAAACAATTACAGAATTACAAGTTTCATAAATCTTAATAAGGCTTAATCAAGATAAGGCTAAGCTCGCCACCCTCTCTTATCATTTTTACTTTTTATCATAAATAATATCCTTAGATAACAAAATGTAATAGTATTGTTAAACGGCTAGTTTTGAGCCGATTTTTCAAAACGGCTAACTCAATATTTTAGCCAGAAAAATATTGATATTTAAACCTATTCCTTCTATGAGCAATTTCTTCAGGCTTGCGTAATATTTTTCTGGGTGAAATATTGAGTTAGCCGTTTATAAAAAGCGACTTAAAACAAGTCGTTTGATAACAGTAGTCATAACCCTCCCTCTAGGAAAGAATGGAGATGCTGTGGCCTCGTGGACAAATGTTTTCTAGTAGCCTCATTTTATGAGGCCTTCACCTCCACCAATTTGAGTGACTTCGGTTCGAATTTACTCTGCCGGTCTGGACCCCTTTAATGGCTTGTTCATACTATACATGTTTTTATTATTTATATTTTTTGTCAAAAATGTCTAAAAAAATGGGTTATCCACAATATACCACATTTTTATTAAAAAAAGACTCGTACGAAATGATTAACACATGTTTCTTTTTGCATATATAAAGCAATGACATGTCATTGATATAAAGTCATACTAATTGAACACATTTAAACATACTTATCGCAATTGCGCAGAAAATAAAATATATATTACAATTACACATATTAAATAATATTAATTGGGAATTTAAAATTACAACTTATTGCACTGTAAAACGCACATGCATTACATTATATGCACCGAATATAAAACTCATTGTTTGCTTCTAAAATCATAAATTTTCCAATATAGTTTTCTAAATAAATAGAATTTAAATATTGAATTTAACAAATATTCTTTAGGCTAATAAATATCGCATTAACTCCCAACTTTGTCCCAAGTCCCAAATAATCACATATTCAAACTATTTGTATCAACAATTCTTTTCTTTACGGGCATCAAATTAATCGTGTCACATATTTGACTTCAGCCTATTTCCATAATTTTAAATTTGCTAGATAAAATTAGTTCATTGTCCCTATGACAAATTATATCATCATATTTGTAAATACGGGTAAATATAGACAATTGAGTAGCAATTTGATCATGAATATATTTTCTGTGAAGCTATCTTCAAAGCAAGAAATATCTTAGATATTCATTTTATCAAAATTTTTCGGATCACTATGCAACCCTCATTCCCACCCCTCCCTGTTAGACCTATTCGAGTTTTCAGAATTTCATTTTGTTACCAATTGTTATCTAGCAGCTTTAAATCAGGAATTTTTTTTAAATATAATTTTTTGTTTTTATATTCATTTGTGTTAAAACATATTGAAAAGGGGGGAAAGTCTTGCCCTGAGAATTGTTATGGTATCACTATTAGTCAGTATTGGGGGGAATTAACCAGTAGAATGGATATTAGTCTGTGTAGAATATTGACTCTGAATGCAGTAGTTAAAAAGAATATTTGAATGAATTATATAATATGTCTTTTATTATGTTATCAAAACTAAAAATATCATATGTCTTTTTATTTAGATATAAAACTTCAAACTTTTTAATCTTTTCGCGATATTTATATATAATTCTATATTTAATTCCCAGCCTCCATTAAAACTTTTTGTTAAAAGTTATAAATTGATTCAGTAAATACAAGTAATAATAAAAAGAAAAAGTGTTATAATAATATAATACGTAAATTGATTAAGTAAGCACAATTTGTTACTAATCTGCAACAAAATATAATCATTCTCCTACATTGGAAGACCAGAAACTCAAACAAGTAAATAAATCAATTTTAAAAAATTCTTTATAAATATAAAATCTTGTAATTATATAATAACTTTTTGTTAAAAGTTATAAATTGATTCAGTAAATACAAGTAATAATAAAAAGAAAAAGTGTTATAATAATATAATACGTAAATTGATTAAGTAAGCACAATTTGTTACTAATCTGCAACAAAATATAATCATTCTCCTACATTGGAAGACCAGAAACTCAAACAAGTAAATAAATCAATTTTAAAAAATTCTTTATAAATATAAAATCTTGTAATTATATAACATTAATATAGCTTCTATTGATTGTAAAATAAAGATTATCAAGTATTTTTAGATTTACTTTGAGCCACCTAACGATGAGAATGTAAGGAGTGATTGTAGAAATGAAGGTGAAGGTTACAGTATTAAATAATTTTCATGGTGTGAGAAGTTAGAATATCAGGTAGCTACGGAAATTGTATACTAATGAAATTTTGTGAAATCATCAAAAACAAATAAAACTAATACAATTATAAACTGGTGATCACGTGACTTATTTCCTTAAATTCTCTCTTTCTTCGATAAACAATTACAAATTTATCTTATCCAATAGTATATTTTGAATTTTTTTTTAATCACCTTTGCAAAATATTTTTATTTTATGAAATACGGAAAGAAGACAGAGTGAATGTCAAAATCTTCAAAGGAATTAGAATTACTATTATACCAGATAGTTATATCGATATGCATTATGTAAAAATAATGATAATTGGGGAGGCATATAAATAATTTAAAATGAATCTTGCATGAATTATATCATATTAGATAATATAATTTACATTTTAGGTTTTTTCTCGGGGTTCCGATGAACAAACAACAATTGCATATCTTATATGATATATTTGGGCACTCTAAGTTCCAACAATATGAATATAGTTAAGTTCTTTAATCATTTTCTGACACCTGTGTATAACAAGCCATATCCCATAACACAAAACAAACCATATTTCATAACAAGATGATCCAAATTTATTCATCAAAATAAACAACAATCTAATATCTATTCGGAAAATATAATATAATAAATCATAATTATCCAATTCTTCATCTCCCAAAGGTCCACAGCTGACATCTTCTACCATTAATCCAATATCTCCCAATCTCCAACTAGGGGCTTTTTCCTAACAATGAAACACGCCGTGATAATCATCTCCTCTTCTTCCCCCAAGGAAAACTTCATTCCCCTGTCAGAAAATAACTGACATTTTATGTATTATATTAAATTTCTTTCTTCTTTTCTCAACAATTACAACACTGTGTATGGAGGAAATTAATATTTTAAAAATTTTCTAAGCATTTATAAATTTTATAAAAATTTATAATATTTTTATCTGGTATCGGTTTCATCGGAAGGAATTTTTGTCCGGGGTTATTTGGTCCATGTCGTGTGTTTTATTCGGGTCTTTATGCCAAGGACACTTCTGACATTCAAATTTCATTTGAAACTATTTAAAGATCCAAAATAAATACATTTTTTAAAAGTTTGGAGTCGTAAAATAATAAAAAAAATCTCATGTAATAGATCTGATAAGAAAAGCATTTTTTTAAAGATCTGATCCAAAATAAAAGGTCTTTGGAGTTAAAAGGGTACAATATTTCTAGAAAATTGGAAAATTTATGAATATTAAAGAACAATAATATATTTCGGTTGTTATTCCCTTCAAATATTAATTTTGAGTTAAAATAAAAGATTTTTGCCGTCTATCATGGTCCTATTCCGAAAAATAGGTCTCTCCCACATGG